GTATCATGAATTGTAGGGCTCGTTTTTAGGGCTGCAGCAAGGCAGGATGACTTGTAAAGGCTTTCACAAGGGGCAAAAATAAGCCTTTAAGTCCGAGTAGATTTTATAAAAATGCTTATGTATGCATTCATTTTAATAGTTTTAATGTCTTTAGTTTCTTGAAGTTAAAAATGCTGCCAATATAGTGGTTACTTTATTGACCTACGCTGTCAGGTTAGCAGTGTCATTCAAATGTGTCTGCAGTGTTTATTTCCATGACAGCCTGACCAACTCTGAAGCGCAATTAGGGATTATTTTGTTTATTTCTCTCATGTTACACACTTTTCTGATTATAGTATTTCTCTTCACGTGGAAGGTGAGACTTTGTCTAAAACCAGCCATTTCCCTATAGTGCTGAGGAATGTATCTGAATAATTTGGAAACCTGCAGCTAGGACTTTAAGTGTAGGGGTGGATATTGATCTTTTTGATGCTGTAGGTAGGACTGTGCTCTTTCTGGGTTCTTTCTGTTGCCCGTCTTGAGTGTGGCAAGAGCAGCAAAGGTTGTAGGAACATGGTAGATTCATTAGGGAAAACTTCTGGCTGGTTCTAGGTTATCATCATTGCCCTGACCTGTTTCACCTGGCTGGGGGCTCACAAGATACCCCAGCTGGAGCCTGACAACAATCTACTTGTTTACTTTTACAAGCTTCACAACGATGCAGAGGGCAATATTGCAATCAGATAATTTCTCAGTCTTTTGTCAAACTGAGGATTTAGCTGTTTAAGGAATTAATTGTGAAGTAGGTTTTTTCAGCCATTAAAAAACAGCTTAGCTCTTCTCTGTTTTTGTTTTTGTTAGTTTGTTTTGGTTTTTTTAATCTCTAAGGGAGGAAGAAAAAAACCCACTCCTTCAGAACCATGATCATAAGAGTTCTGTGTCTCCTCTGATACTAAATATATAATGTGTAATTAACAGCTTGTGGAACTGTAAAATTAGTATTTTTTTTATTTTTTAACTTGCATGTGGACCTGTCTTTGAATGGACTTTATGCTCTATACTTCCCCAAGGGATGTTTTGGCCAAGGAGGGGGGATGTGAATTTCAGAATATGTCAGAGAGTTGCCTGTGGCCTTCATGCATAGCACTGCTTCCGTTTCAAGCAACCCAGAGCAGTGCAGTGTTATTAGTGAGGTGAAGGGGATGGTGGCTGGCTGAGGTTTGGAAAAATGCTGTTGGGGGTGAGATGTGTTTGTGATGCCATTAGGTTTAGGGAAGCCACTCCTGAAGTCAGTGAGTCTCCATTAATGTAAGAATGCTAATATGCTTTGGTAATCCAAGGTTTTATTGCTTCCTGGTAGTATATTAATTGCTGCTAAGCATCCTAATGTTGCTTTTCCAACCTCTGTGAGCTTTAGACTGCATTAATGCAAGTATTTTCTGAAGCAGATGATTCAGCTCAGCTTGCAGCCTCAGGTAGTAAAGGATATAGCTGTTTGCTGCTCACCCCCCTCCGGGAGGTGTGTTATACCTCTCTTTTCCTAGTGGCATAAATTCTTCGAGTTCATGGTACTTGTTCTGATACATTATCCAACTGTCTTTCCAGTTAGCAGCAGGACATGGTGGAGGGGTTGAGTATGTAGATGAGGTAGGATGCAATTGTATGAAGTCCATGACATTTCCCACATTTTTTTTCTTTAATTTTATAAAAATCTACAAGACTTAAGTTGACTTCAGCTGCAATTGTTTGGGTTTTTGTTTTTTTTTTTAAAGTTATCTGAGCTTCACTAGATATGACACCACAGAAGCAACAGAGATAAATGCTGGTATAATTGCAGAATCATAGACTGGTTTGGGTTGGAAAGGACCTTAAAGATCATCTAGTTCCAACCCCTCTGCATGGGCAGGGTCACCTCCCACTAGACCAGGTTCCTCCAAGCCCCATCCAACCTGGCCTTGAACACTTCCAGGGATGGGGCTTCCACAACTCTCTCTCGACAGTCTGTTCCAGTGTTTCACTATTCTCATAGTGAAGAGTTTCTTTCTAATTTCTAACCTAAATCTACCCTCTTCCAGTTAGCTATTGGGTTAGTCCATTTTAATATTTAAACAAAACATGAAATAATAACCTGATGGTGAGACTTATTATTACATAACTACTACATGTTAGAATTTTAAGAGCTATAGAAAAGCCACTTTAATCAAAACCAGAATTTGTAATTCCAGTTTTTTTAAATACCAACTTAATAGAAACATTAAAAATTATGGTAGTGTTCCATCTATATATAAATTTTCTGATTTTTTAATTTTTTTTCTTTAAGTAGGTATAAGAACTTTAAAGGGTGTTAGTATTCTGTGTTTAGATACTGATACCTGGTAGTCTTGGAAATACTGTTATATTAAGGTCTGTAGAAAAGTATCAGTTCTGCTTGACACTGAACATGTTTGAGGGCCATGGTTTAAAATATTAATGTTCTAATCTTAAAGATCATCTAGTTCAAACCCCTCTGCATGGGCAGGGTCACCTCCCACTAGACCAGGTTCCTCCAAGCCCCATCCAACCTGGCCTTGAACACTTCCAGGGATGGGGCTTCCACAACTCTCTCTCGACAGTCTGTTCCAGTGTTTCACTATTCTCATAGTGAAGAGTTTCTTTCTAATTTCTAACCTAAATCTACCCTCTTCCAGTTAGCTATTGGGTTAGTCCATTTTAATATTTAAACAAAACATGAAATAATAACCTGATGGTGAGACTTATTATTACATAACTACTACATGTTAGAATTTTAAGAGCTATAGAAAAGCCACTTTAATCAAAACCAGAATTTGTAATTCCAGTTTTTTTAAATACCAACTTAATAGAAACATTAAAAATTATGGTAGTGTTCCATCTATATATAAATTTTCTGATTTTTTAATTTTTTTTCTTTAAGTAGGTATAAGAACTTTAAAGGGTGTTAGTATTCTGTGTTTAGATACTGATACCTGGTAGTCTTGGAAATACTGTTATATTAAGGTCTGTAGAAAAGTATCAGTTCTGCTTGACACTGAACATGTTTGAGGGCCATGGTTTAAAATATTAATGTTCTAATGGCCTTAATTTCTGAGATTGGAGAGTGTTTATATTTTTTAAAAGAAAATATTTTTATTGCCTGTGAAAATCTTAGGGGTTGTGGCATGCTTAAGAAAGAGTGACAGTTAAAACCCTCAAACCTTTTTTGGGGGTTTTTACCCATAATCTTGTTATTATGGTTATTTCTAGATTACCACTTAGCTGGTTTTAAGCAAGTTCCGTTGGTTTTCTTGCATTCTTTGTCACGTCTTTTTTTGTTTGCTTAAACTGTAATGTGTTTTGGTCAACAAGTTTCTATGGTTATATGTATGTATCATATTTAGTACCTTAGGTTACAGCTTTAGTTACATCCACAGTGTGCAAATAAAGCTTTCTTTAATATTAGCATAATAACCTAATTAGACTAATATTATCACTTGCAGATTCAGAACTATTAGTGGAGTATGAAGAAGGTTAAACCCACCTTACCAGAAGACTAGCATAACTATTTGAGACCACATTAGTATTTGGGTTATATTGCTACTAAATTAAATGGAAAAAAATCTTTCCGTTCACTAGAAGCAGGACTAAAAAGAAATCTGTTGCTCTGAAGAGCATTGCTAATTTTTAAATAGACAAAATAAACATAGTACTTATAGAATGGGCTGTAATTCTGTAGCAAATCTGGTTTGTTGATGAAGCTCTGAAATGTTGCCTTCAATTTTTCTCTTTTTTTTTTTTTTTTTCTTCTTTGAATACAGAGTTAACCAAGTACACAGTGAAATTTGTATATAGTCATAGCAGTCTGTATTTTAGGCCACTCTGAAGGATACTAGACTTTTGGTGGAGTCTTTCAGCTGCTCTGAGAATCAAAGACGGTGGGTTAAAGAACACTTTAAAAATGAGGACCATGAAGAATTTAATTCTATAATAGTGGTATCAACTTCCTGAGTAATTGCAGTAGTAGTAGATTAAATATGTCATTGGAGATTTTTGGAAGGCTTTCTAGTAAGGGGAACAACAGAACTGCTTTCAATAGTGTGCTAATGGCAAGTCAGGTTGAAAAATGTTTGAAGGGAAAAGTATGCAAATAGGGTATTCCACAGAAACCATGAACATATGTTGAAGAAATCAGAAGAAAACACCTACATGGCACACACTGATTAGAAAGAAGGAGATGTAATAAATTATTCTTTTGTCCAGTCTTTGTATTTTAAAAGTATCTATGTCTGTTTATGCAACAAAACTGGTGTCAACGCCATCAATGTGGTAGAGATTTTCATCCAGAATGACTACACCTTTTGTCTGAGCAGCACAAGCTGAACTAGTAAAAAACTTTGCCAGTATCCAGGATGGTAATCTTTAGTGAACCAGCAAAAGATCAGCCTATAGCTACATCTATTCAACAGTTTTAGATCTTAAGATATAGGTATAACATGTGAATTTACTTCTCCCCTCTTCTCCATTCCTGTTTCTTTTGTGCACTGCTTTGGTCTAGGTCATTCCT